TACGTTAGTTTACTTAGTTACGTTAGTTAGTTAGGTTTTAGTTTTAAGTTTTACGTTTACCGTTACCTAACTTACTTTACTTTACTTACTTATCTTCTCTCTCTCTCTCTCTCTCTCTCTCTCTCTCTCTCTCTCTCTCTCTCTCCTTTTCTGTTGGTTTTTTTTTGGTTAAGATTGAAGGAGGGGCGACGGAAGATGGTAAAGGGCCTAGTATTTGGGACACTTTCACACATAAATTTCCAGGTAATTTTTAATAAGTTTTTTTTTTTGGGTGAAATTTTTGCTTGGAATCTATTTTATTTCACCTGATCTTCGGGGCTGAATCTCGGCCAAATTTAGCTGGGAATTTGGTAAATTTCAGTTAAGATTTGGAGAGGGATCTCTGCCAATTTTAGTTGGGGACTTTCCTTAATTTGAGCTTAAAATATAGGATTTAACAAAATAGACCAACTTCTTTTTTCTTTTTTTTTACTTTTTCAAACAAACTTTTTTTTAACTTTTTAATAAGGTAAATTAAAAATGTTTTGATGAATGAATTGGAAAATAAATTGTGATTATGGTGCGCAGATAAGATTGATGGGGGAAACAATGGAGACATGGCTGTAGATTCCTATCATCGGTATAAGGTTGGGTGCATTTTGAATTTTTAAATTTTAATTTATGTTTATTTTTAGTGTTAATTTTAATTATTTGTTTAACTATTTGATGTTTATTGGCTTTACAAAATTTATGCAGGAGGATATACAATTGGGGAAAGAAATGGGGTTGGATGCATATCGCTTCTCTATATCATGGACTAGGATCCTACCAAGTAAAAATTATCGTTGTTTCTTTTAATTATTTATTTTTTTGATAAGGATCTTTCTCTTATTTCTCTGTTGGCTTTCTAATTTAAAACTAACAACAAAAAAAAAAAAAAAAAAAAAGACCAAAATGGTCTTTTGCTCCTGAAGGAGCAAACTGTTCATTTGCTCCATCGGGCAAAAACCAAGGGCAATTTTAGGACCCAAAATTTTGGGTGTGTATCCTCTGGGATCTGGAGACAAACTCAAAAAAGGAAAAAAAAGAGAAAAAAAATCAAACACAAACTCCATGAGCCTAGAAAAAATAACTACCCAAAATTGAATGTACACTGTTCGCGGTTTGGAGTTTGGACAGCAAAATCTAAGTTAAGAATTAGCTGATTATTTTTAAATAGATTTTAGAATTTTATTAGCATTTCATATTTCACACTCGAAAGTGATTAACTTGACATTTCTATAAACGAAATGCTAAAAGCTATTTATTTCTTCTAGCTTTATGCAAAAAATTTAAAATATCGAAATAAGATGCAAGGACTAAATTTTGAGGCCATCATCTGAACTTATTAATTTGTAGTAAATGCTTCAAATTTACTGATTAGAGGGAAAATTGAGAGGAGGGGTCAGCAAGGAGGGCATCAAACACTACAACAACCTCATCAATGAGTTGATTGACAACGGTATCTCCATTGAGTCTTTATCTAATTTCTTTCTTAAGATTTTTTCTTTTTTTCTGTTATTACTTGATTATCAAATGGTATGGTTTTTGATTAATAATTTGCAGGGATGATGCCTTTGGTGACACTGTTCCATTGGGATTTACCTCAATATCTCGAGGATGAGTATGGAGGATTCTTGAGTTCTAAAATTGTGTATGTTTTCTACCAATTAATTTTTGCCCAACAAGTTTTACTATAAAATTTCGAAAAACAATGAGAAATTTACTATATAATCATTTTCCGAAAATATTCTTGCTCACACAAGTGAAAAATGTACATTTGCTCCCTCAGGCAAAACCTAGCCAAGAGTAATTTTTGAACCCCAGGAAATACCTGCTCAACATAACAAACAACCTAAAAATAATTTTCTCGTACTTTTTAGGACGCTTGAAGCTGTTGGTTTTCACATTCGACAGCTAGGGGAAATTGGGACCTTCTTGCACCAATTGTGAATAGTTTTATAGGACACAATTGAATTTATTCTCTCTACGCATTCTTTAATTAACATTTTCTTTGGTGATGATAAATATATGCAGTGTGGATTTTGAGGACTATGCCAACATTTGCTTCCAAGAATTTGGTGATAGAGTGAAATATTGGGTTACTGTGAATGAGCCATGGACTTATAGTGTGAGAGGATATGATTTAGGTATATCAGCCCCTGCTCATTGTTCACCTTCATTAGGAAACTGTACCCAAGGAAATTCAGCCACCGAGCCTTATCAAGTTGCACATAACATGCTTCTTGCTCATGCTGCTGCCTTTAGCCTATACAAAGACAAATATGAAGTAAGATTTTGATTTCTTTTCTTTTTTATTTTGATTTCTTTATTGGAAAAAGAAGAAGTGGTCTCATGGGACTAAATTGTACATTATTCTTTTGGTTGAGACACCAAGTTAGGGGTTTTGTTTCACCCCAGAGCTTTCAAATCATCTTTTGAATCAATTTAAAAAAAAAATAAAATGATATGGATCTCACAAATGCTCTAGATCATTTCCTGCTCTAATATTGACCATAGATTGCCTATTTGATTGATGATGGTACCCATTATTTTAAGAGCTTAAATTCATTTTTCTTCTCTCTCCTTATTAGGATCTCAATATGTTTTACAACACAAGGACTACACAATTTTGTACCTAATCCAATGCTTTTTTTTTACAAGGCAGCACAAAAAGGAGTCATTGGTATTTCTCTATCAGCCCATTGGTATCTGCCCTACTCAAACACCAATGGAGACCATGAGGCTGCATATAGAGCTGTTGATTTCATGCTTGGATGGTTAGAATCCATTATGTATCAATTTGATTTCTTAATATGTTCCTTTATTGTGCCAAAACAAATTTAATAATTTGATGTCAATGTTTTGTGATAGGGCCCTAGATCCTATAACAAGAGGTGATTACCCCTTTTCCATGAGAACTTATGTTGGGGAAAGGCTGCCCAGATTTACAGAAAATCAATCTCATAATTTGAGAGGATCATTCGATTTTATTGGGATTAATTACTACACAACACACTATGCATCTGATATTCCATATTCGAGCTTCTCGAAAGCTGTCAGCTACTCAAATGACATTCATGTGGATCGAACAGGTACAATTCCAAAATATTGAGACTGTTAGCCATGCACACATGGGGGGATGAATCTAGGGTTGGCAATGCGCTAGGATTGGGCCAGGCCTAGCCCGACTGGTTGGAAGGGCTAGGCTGAGCCACACGTTTACTTCAGATTTGTCAGTTCCATGCCAAGAGCAGCTTGGCCAGGCAATGATATGGCCATTTCCATCAGGCACTTATGCTGGCCTAGACCTGGGCTAAGCCCGGCTGAGCTGAGCTGCCCAGCCCTTTGCCACCATTTCTAGGACTGTATGGCCAATCATCAATTTGGATCGAATACAGTGGGTGGGCGACCAAGGCTTCCGCGCTCTTGAATCTCCTCAATTTTTGTAAACAGATTTTCACTTGTTCGTTTGATCTAGATGCCCGATCCAACCAATCTAGATCAGTATATTTAGTGGGTTATCCAAAACTTGATTATGGGTTTTTAAACATTGTGTAGAATACATGTGGTATGTATTTTGCCACAAAAGAGGAGTAAAGAAAAATGACTGGTGAAGGAAACTGACTTTTAATCAGAAAACAAACAATAATAATCATTTATGGAAAACACAAAATAAGACGGTTTACGTTGATACAAGGGGGCCATAATCACTTTGAACCATCAAATATGAAATTAGGCAACTGTTGGATATAGAATTAGGCAGCTAAAAGATGTGCTATTAACCGTCCCAAGAAGATCTTTCCATAACAGAAACTATAATATATCCCCCTTCTTTACATTAAATGGCTAAAGTGTTTTTGACTTTTGTTAACCAAAGCTAAACATTCTTATCTAATACAAACCCATCATTTATTTGAAATTTTTCAATAATTATTATTTTTAACTATGTGCAGGGATGCGGAATGGCATTCCTATTGGGCCACAGGTACACACCATATTTGTGTTATTCACATTTTTTTTTTTTTTTGCCATTTCGTCACTTCCAAATTGTATTCATACATATTAGATTGATTTTTTAAATATATTTGTATTGTAGGGTGCCTCCACTTGGTTATTTGTGTATCCACCAGGTATCAAAGACCTCTTGGTTTACATTAAGGAGAGGTACAACAATCCGACGATCTACATCACCGAAAATGGTAAATGAAATTAACTAATTCATTAATGTGCATTTTTGTATATGCTGAGCACTTTAAAATAATTATTTCAAAATCATTGTATGATAAATATTTCAATACAAGAGAACATAATTTCAATACCAAAATTCGACAATAAAATTGTTTATGAAAAAAAGGTAGTCATTATTAGAGCCTTAGCCGTCAGATGGGGCGGCCGGAGACAAACCATTGATAACTCTAAAATATTTTAAATATACGTACTTTAAATGGTTATTTTTCCCAAGAACTATTCTTTAATGAATTAAATTAAGGAAACGGTTTTATGAGTCCTAGGACTCTTGTAGATATGCATCCCCGCTTATAATCCGTTTTTGAGATGGATTTTGGACTTAATCTTTTTAGTGTATATATAAAAAATAAATTTTAAAACTAAAAATGATAATTTTTTGAAAAGAAATAAAATTAGACGGTTGATTTATATATCTTTTGGAAGGACCATCACTCAATATCTTTAAGATGGACGTGTGATGCCTGAGGGGCTGCGAATGTAGTTATGCATCCACCAATGCATAAAGCATTTTTTCTTAAAATAATTATTTCTGCAGGGGTGGATGAATATGACAATGGGACCAAGCCCTTAGAGGAATCTCTTCAAGATACAATTAGGAAAGACTGCCACTATAACCATCTCTTGCATATCCGAGAAGCCATCAGGTATGACCAACATTAGCCATTATATTGTGTATTTTAGACACACAGAGAGAGAGAATTTTGTCCATTAATCCATTCAAAAAGAACAATTTCAGAGAGATTGGATGAATTTTGTCCATTAATCTGTTCAAAAAGAAAAATTGTTCATTTAATATTTTGACCAAAGGTGGTTTTAAAATATTATAATTTAGCTTTTTAATGTTTTGACTTTTGACCAAAGTTGGTTTTGAATGGATTTTTGAAGTTTTCCTCTTTGATATATTTTTGGGAAATTTATCGAACACTAAATTTATCAACTATTTAATATTTTCGCCATTTTCTACTATTATGAAATCATGTGTAGTTTTATGCCTTTTTAAAATTAAATAAAAATAAATGGATAAAATATTGAAGAGTTTATCTCTTCGGTGTATTTCGATAAAAAACAATTTACTTTTATACCAAAACACACCTAAGAAATTATTTAACATTTCAACCATTTCTTTTTAGTTAATTTCAAAAGACTCATCAAAATACACATGATCATGAATATGAATAGTTGAAAATGGATAAAATGTTAATTTGTAGACAAGTTAGGCATTATCATCGTTAAAGCATTTTCCCAACTAATTGGGGCCAGCTACAAGAATCATGGTCTACCATTTTGCTCTATTAAGGATCGTACCCTCATTGACGCCATAAGTTTTTATATATTTTCTTACTGCTTCCAACCACATCTTTTTTAGCCTGCCTTTTGTCGTTTTTTAGCCTTCCACTTGAACTAAATCGTACATCTTAATAGGTGTTGTATTGGGTCAGCGCTACACATGACTAGCCCACCTAAGTCTATTCTCTCTCATCTCATTACCTATTGGTGCCATACCTATATTTTTTCAAATGTGATTATTTCAAATTTTATCACTTCTGGTCTTACCACTCATCCATCTCAACATCCTCATATCTGCTACACTCATTTTATGGGTATATTATTTTTTGACCGCCTAACATTCTACCCCATAGAACAAAGCCAGTTGTTCTATAGAACTTGCCCTTTAGCATTATTGATATGCGGCGCGGTTGAACATCTCCACTTTGTCCACCCAGCTGTAATGACAAGTTAGGCATATTTTTTTAAAATTCTCAAATATAAAACAACGAAAACTTTACCATGATACACCTAGTTTGTTAATTATTAAACATTTTAACCTTTTCCAATTCATGACCATGCATTTTAATAGTTTCTTATATTAGATGAAAAGGAAAGGATAAAATGTTCAACAACTTATCTCCAAATGGAATCTTGATAAACTATGCCATTGCTGATCCCAAGCTCAAATGAGAAAGGAAGAAGATTGTGTTAGGTTAGCAGCTAGCATAAAATTTTTACCACATCTTTATAATGAATCTTAATCCAATATTATATGCTGAGCAGAGTGTGGAACAAGATTCGTGTAGTTGGCTTCCAAATAGTTGAGATAAAGCTTGGATGATAACGATGATAAAAAAAAAATTAAAATTTTCAAAGAAAATTAAAAAAAATTGTGTGAATTTTTTTTAATCCCAAAATTGTGTCCACTTGGTTGAGAAAAAATCATTCTTTTCTTGATCGGCTCGGGAAGCCAGTCGTTTTGATACTCATTTCGAATCATGGATCAAACTTTTGGGTCACAATCACGAGATATTTACGATGGTACTTCTGCTTTCCAGGCGAGGAGTGAGAGTGAAGGGATACTTCTTTTGGTCCCTCTTGGACAACTTCGAATGGGAAGATGGTTATAGCTTGCGCTTTGGCCTTTATTATGTTGATTACAAGAACAATTTGAGGAGACTTCCGAAGCTCTCAGCTCGTTTCTTTTCGAGGTTCTTGAGAGAGAAAACCACAAGCCTCGAGGAAGCCGACCTCATTAACACTATGTAGCAAGCATATGTTATATTGGATTCGATTTTTTTTATTCAATACCCTACATCAGAACTGATTTCTCATGGCATTGAGAGAGGAGAGAGGGGGGAATCGAAAATCATAGTGTGAATTTGTTCTTCGTTTAGTTAAGAGATTGTATATGATAAGGCAATTTACTTTTGCTTCAAAGGTCACAATATGCTATCGTTGTCCGATGTGAAAACTGACAGCTTGGAATGTATATCAAAGATTGAGAAAACTTTATTTTGACCCTGAGCATGGTCAGTAGTACAATCCCAGTCATGATCAAGAGAAATTGTGACCTACTTGTATCAAAGATAAGTGACTTTCTTTAGTTAATTGGGTACACTTTAACTTTAGAACAATCAAGTCGTTCAACTCTTTAGTTAATGGGTGCAGTTTATATGAGGTTGCAACCTTATTTGTGGAAATATGGTTGCGATACTTTATACTGTTTGTTTTATCAAGATGGTGTAGAATTGACATATCTTTTAAGACAATGTTGATATATAGCATATCTTTTGAGATAATATCCAATCTACACCGTCCAAATAAAATGGATAGTGTAGATTACTGTGACTTTATTTCTACAAATAAAATTACAACCTTATATAAAGGTTTTCCTTAGTTAATTGGGTACACTCGTAACCCTATCGTGGCATTGGATCCTTTAACCCAACATCCACAATTCACATTTATCTACAAATGTTCAAGTAGAAGAGATGTTGAATTTCAAAGCCACTTTTTCTTTTTAAGCAAGAACATGCATAGATCCTTGTATCTACTACCTAGGAATACGTACATATCACACTCGTAAAGGGTATATAGCATATGGTTCTCATTTCATATAACATTTAAATCAAAAGTGACTGTGACTTTTTTGTACTAAAAACATATGGTCTTATCACATACTATTCAATTGTATAATGAGATTATCTCCAAAAAAAGCATTTATCTTTTGTACATGAAAATCATAATATGCATAGGTTTAGAGGATGCTTACAAATATTAATTTGCAATAGTAATAATAAACTGCACGAGAGAGAGATAGAGGGGGGGTTGCAAATGCTTGTCAATGCTTTCTAAAAAGATATACAATACAATAAAGTAGGAGAATGCACAATAAGAGAAAGAGAGTCTGGTGAATCGGCCAATAAAAAAATAAAAATTAGCATGAAAATTGAAAATTAATAAAAATTGGGATCATCTAGCTACCCAACAAAATCAACCAGTTCCCAATAAATGGTGGGAACCAGATCGTTCCCATCAATTCCTTATACAGATTCCGATCCAAATTCATGTTTTCAATACCTGGGGAAATATGCAAGTAAAAGTAGGAACGACAAAGTTGACTAAATGTAGATCCCAATTAATGAGAAATGTAGAAAAATACCCAATATGATAAGGTAGGACACCAATTATTGAGATTCCCCTAAGATAGGTACATTTATTTTTGAAAGTTTCACCATAGGCCTTGATTGAAAACAGCCGGCTTATATATACCCTTCTTTTTTGGATAGGTGGTCGGCAGATATGCTATTGATGTATACTTCAGAGTGCATATTACATCATGTACGGTATACTTTTGCTTCATCCATTATAAAAAGAAAAATGTCTTTAAAATTTTTAACTCACTCAAAAAATTCAGTAAAGAGGTAAAACAGTCTAATTTATCATCAAAGTGGTTCTTTCAGTCAAGTACCTCTTCAACTAATTTATTTAAAAAAAATTTTATATAAGAGTAAAGCCCTAAACAATCAAATTAAAGTGCACCGCAAAACTTCATTAGCAAAGGTTGTTTCGTTACTCAAAAATCCTCAAACCAATCATCTCGACCTCAATATGTATAGACACGAGTAAAAATTGATTTCTTGTCTTGGAAACAGTACTGCTTGTAATGCATTTTTTGGATGGTCAGTTTTCCAGATTTTCAAGTATTCATAGATCTGTTCGACCTACTCTATTTTTGAAGCTTTAAATTTTATAATTGGATATAAAAATAAACTGTCAAACGATCACAAAGATTTCTAGTACTGAAACAACATCTTTTGACACTGTTTGGAAAAAGGGTGCCTTACTTTGATTGTTTAGAACTTCAGCCTTATACAAACGACACCCTTTATTAATACCTTTTACGGTAGGGAAATTAACTTAATTGGCCCAAAATAACAAGCTGCTTGCTCCAAGTGTAAAATATGGAACAGGCGGGAGCTTCTTAATAATTTGGGCCCATTTATAAAATAGATTAGATAATCATTATACTATATTGCAGTGGAAGAAACATGCTTCCTCATTTAGATACCCGAAGGAATGGATTTCTCATGAAACTATGATTTGGTTCGAGCAGTTTTGGGGCAGCGAAGGCCACATTTCTGCCTTCTTTTGGGTCCAATCCACCTCGCCTCAAGTGGTGGGTAAGGCAAGCCCTGAATCTTGTGTGTTCAGGTTACCAAATTCAAAATAAAGACATTTTAACTATTTCTTAATAAAATGGTTGAAACGGTATTTAAATAAAACTAAAATTTCAAAGTAATTACTTTGTTGATGCGTTGATTGATATCACTTCGAACATTTTAATGATATTTTCAATAGGATGAGACTTGATAGTATAGTTACGAAGATCAGATTAGACTGGACCAGTTGGTCTGATCAATTGAACCGCCGATCAATGCCTTGGTTAGTTTGGTCCAAAATAAAAGTTGTTAAAAAACTAAACAAAATCAATATTTGATCGGTTTTGGCCAGTTAAACTAGTCGGTTTTGATTGTTTCGACTAGTCAAATAAAGTTGGGTTGTTTTTTCCTTTTAATATATTTCATATTTTAAACTACTATTTCTATATCCTTTTAAATCCAAGCTAATTCGTTCAAATATCAAGACCCGATTTCGACTGGAGCGGATCTCTCGCCGGTTGAGTGGCCAGTTTGACCCTCATACAAATATGTCTACTGGTTCAGGACGATTTCTTGAGTGTTCGTTGAAACAAAAAAAGAGAGGGGAAAAAGCAAGAGTTATCTTAAAAAAAGTATATTTGCCCAATTCAAAAACTATATTGTGGACCTACCTCAAACTTTCTTTCGGGTGTGTAGTTGGTTTGTCTTAATCGAAGCATTTATAGGAAGGGGTCCATAGGTTTCATGTACATATTGTTGACATTATTGGTGATGCGATATTACGATACGATAGGATGATTTGGTCCCAATAGTTGCTTTATGTTTAAAACGTTTAATTACTTTATGATGAGAGCAATGAAACTAAAGGAAATAAATGAAATAAAAAGAAGTATATATAATGAGACTATTTATTTTTGATACATGGAGGTCATAATCACTATTGACTACTGGATTTGAAATCGGATTGTTAAGGATGTGTCATTGTTTGGGTAAGAAGTCCAAAATAAAATATCTCGAATATTGTGATGCACTTTCATATATTGAATTTTACATCTAGTGGCTAAAAGTGATTGTAACCTCTTTGTTTAGGTGTCTATGACTTAGTTTCTATTATTGTCATATGTAATTTGTCTATAAAAGACAAGTCTGTATATTCATATCAATTAATGGATACTTCAGAGGAACTTGAGTCTCTTCATATGATGTTTCAAAGGAAAAAGGGTTGGCCGGACACTAATTGTGAAAATGAGCAGGATCTGTCTGAGTAAACTCCTCTGAAAAATCGTCAAAAAAAAAAGAAGGTATGAAACACCCTAAAAAACCGTCATATTTGACTCACTTTGAAAACCGCCTCTAAAACCTATCATTGAAAAACCACCTCTGAAACCCGTTGTCTCTAAAATCTACCTCTGAAAAATGGCCTCTGAAAATGGTCGATCTGCACCATAGGAAAAACCGCTCCTCTACCTATTTTTGCCTTTGGATCTTGATCTCAAGGTCCAGATCTGTTTGAAATCTTACTCAGTCACTCTGTTATGATATTGTCATTGACCCTCTGAAATTCAACCTGAAAGCACTCCTCAAAAAAGAAGAAAAGAAAAAAAGAGAGTATGTTTTCTGAGTTTATCTTCACGTTGTATGTTCTTATTTGTATGATTGAGTTTGTTGTTATGTTACTCGATCATATTTGTTCTGATATGCGAGCTGCTGAATCTGTTTTGAATCCACTTCAAGTTCTGTTGGCCCTTCCAAGTTCCATTTTGTTTTTCTTGGTTGTCTCGATTGTTTTTCTGTCTCCGGTGAAGATCTGAAGTTTTTGTTCATTGCTGAACTTTGTATCGCCGCTTTGTTCTTGCCTTTTGTTTCTGAGGCTTGTTGATCTGCCGCTTCTTTCTGTGCTTGTTGATCAAGCAATATGAGCATGGCAACAACTATTCTTTCTATTGGTTACGCTATGCAGCTGAAGATCCAACTGCTCGTTTCCGCGACTTGGCATTTAAACTCCAGCTGCTCTCTTTCATATCATATTAAGTTTGAGGAAGAGTGTGAAAGTAAATTATATATTATATATTTGGTTAATATAAAATTTGTATATTGTAATCAGTAAATATGGGAAGGCTAGGATTTTGTGTCATGTATTTTATGGTCAGTCTGAGTATAGTTTAGGTGTTTATGATTTAATTTCTATTATTGTCATCTATAATTTGTCTATAAAAGACAAGTATGTATATTAATATCAACTAATGGACACTGAATCTCTTCAGAGAAACCTAAGACTCTTCACATTACATACTTATGTGTGTGTCACTGGACCGGCTGGTCTAACCAGCCGGACCACTACTTGTGCCTTGACCGTTTTTGTTCAAAGTGAATATAGGGTTTGACCAAAAACCAGTCAAAATCCATGTATAACCAAAATATCCAAGGGCATTTTAGTTAATTTTTTACTCAAAATATTTTTTATTAATTCTATTTTGTTCATTATTTAAGAATGTATTTACGTTCCAAAGTTTAGATAGATATAATTTTAAATAAAAATAAAAAACAAAGTCAATTTGTAGCTGTTGGATAAGGCCTTGTTCAATTTAAACCGTCCATTTGACATGGACATGGGTTTCCCTTAATTTAAATTCGTAAATTATCTGAATTTTAGCTGAATTCTTTTAATTTTAGTTTTAAGTATACATAAGGAATATAGCTATTTTTAACTTTTTAACTCCAAGTCCCTTATTTTTCGGTTTCATTTCTTGATAAACTCAATGTTTCAAAAAATATTTTCTAATCCCCTGGCCATTTTAAATCTATTTTTTAACTTAAACAAATATGAGAAATACATGTTATTTTTAAACCCAATCATTTCTCTCTTTTCACTTACCCCAAACTTCTCTCTTTCTCTCTCTTCATGTATCTCTCACTCTTTCTTTCCTCCCGTATTTATTCAAACACCTCTCTCCTTCCGATAACCTCTCACCTCCGTAAAATCCAGCTCAATCCTTTCTCTCTCTTCCTACACCTCTCACTCTCTCTGGAAACGTGGAGAGAGAGAGCAGGAGGAGAGAGTGAGGGGAAAGATGAAGAGAGAGAGAAGGGATACGGGGAGAGAGAAATTTGAGATGATAACTTTTAGAAAATGCATGTCTTTTTAGATTTGTTTGGCCTAAAAAACAAGGTTTAAATTAGCTTGGGGGTTAAAAGAAATAGAATCTATAATTTTTATGCCTCAAGATATCTTTTAAAAGCTTGAGTCCAACGTGAAATGAAACCTAAAAAAAGATGATATGGATATTTTTTTCCTTAAAATAATTTTTTTTTAAAATTACCAAAAGTAAAAATAATAATTTGATCGGCTACTTTTCTGCATCAAGTATACCCATAAAAGAGAATTTATGGTAACATAGGTGGTGTTAATTGCATGATGCTAATATTTTTTTGCTTGTTCACCTTTATGAAGGTTAGATGACAACTTCTGTTCAAGATTTGGCTTTCCAACTAAACACAAATAAAAAACTCAATAAATAAAGTAAAAATATTCAATAATTTATGAGTTGTTTTTATGTCCTAATCAATAGCTGACGAGGCCGGCACGAACTAGGGGTTTACAAACTTGAAAGTGTTACTAATTGAGATTAAAGAAGGACAAATTGATTTTTTATTATTTGGGCCAAATTAGTTTGGCATAAAATCCTAAATAAATGAACATTTTTAAATAAGGGAAATGCTTTGGTGTAGGTGAAGTTGCATGCAACAGCAGCCCATGACTGTATGTGGGAAACAGGAAACGGATTGAGGATTGAAAATGTCGTGCAGATTCATTTCTACCTCAAATTTCTAATTTAGAGCTCTAAAAATTGTGGATAACTAACAGAGAACTTGAAATGGACGGTTAAAAAAAAAAGAGTGTTGAATGGACCCCTTTAGAACTCCAAATCTATATTTGTTTTGGATTGAAAATGTCGTGCAGATTCACTTCTACCTCAAATTTCTAATTTAGAGCTCTAAAAATTGTGGATAACTAACAGAGAACTTGAAATAGACGGTTCAAAAAAAAGAGTGTTGAATAGACCCCTTTAGAACTCCAAATCTATCTTTTGTTTTAGATCCATGATTGTTGAGGTTCAAGCTATGAATCCACAATCAATAATCCAAGACGGGTCTCAAAACGCCGCCGCGTGTAAATAATGTCGTGCCAAAATCATAAATCATTATGCATTGCACATGGGAATGGGCTCAAGGCTATGTGTTAAAAGGTCGCGGGGTGCCATAACTTGACGAATTGAGTTTCATGCTTTTCATGGGCAAAGACCCTCACATACTGAACTAATAAAAATTGCATGCTCTTATCTCCTAGCCAATAAGAAAAAAGGCCGGCCCGAACTTCAGGGTCTCAATACTTGAAAAATATTCACAGTTAAGATCATAATATTAAGATCAAAGAAAGATTAGTTAGTTTTTGTTATTTAAGTCACAATTATGTTTGAATAAAAATATTTAGCATCCAAAGGATTCTAAAAGGGTCACGTGTTGAGAAAAATTATGAGTCATATCTTGTAAAACTAAATGTCACTCCTTTCCTTATATGGTGATTTATGATTGACCTTGGCAATGTGAAAGGAAAGTATATATTGTATATTTGGTTAATATAGAATGTGTATATTAAAAACAATAAATATAAAAATTGTAGGATATTGTATATTGTATTTTATGGTAAGTCTGTGTATAGTTTAAATATCTATGATTTAGTTTCTATTATTATTATCTGTAGTTTGTCTATAAAAGACAAGTATGATATATTCATATCAATTAATAGATACTTAGTCTTTTCAGAAAAACCTGAGATTCTTTATAGGAAAATGAAGACTAGTAAAGGTGTAATGGACCCGACCAGACATGGGACCCAACGGGTAGACCCGACCTCGGGTCCAAATATGGGTCCAAAATTGGGACCTGAATACTATTCGGGTCGGGGTCGGGGCCCGGGTCTAGGTCCAACAAGACCCGCCCCCTACCTATAGTCATAGGTTATATGATGACAATCATGTATCTTTAGGCGCCCGCTAGGTGTTCATATTGTCACAATATTGGCAACATTTACAATATTATTGACTAAAAAAAATGAAGCTCATAATCATATGATATATGATGGTTAAAAAAAAGGCAAAGAAATAAAAATAAAATAAGCTCATATTCATATGGTGGCAATATATCTGACCAGACCTAGGACCCGATGGGTAGACCTAGGACCGGACGGATCCAAGTATAGGTCCAAATTTTGGACCTGAATACTATTCGGATCTCGGTCCATGTCCAGTCGGACCCGACTGCCACCCCTAAAGAGGACTGCCACCCCTAAAGAGTGGCATCCACTTCCAAAATAAATTATATTCATAGACAATAATTTTATTTATGTAAGCATACCAAGTTCAATATTAAGGGTTTTATAATTGTGATTGTTCACTCTATTGTGTAATGTCCTAATCAAAAAAATCCTGCCAAATTTATCAAATTGATAAGTTGCTTGGCTTTACAGGGCCAAGTAGACCCCATGTCCAAAAGATTTAATCTATGTGTAGGTCCACAATATTTGAATGGGCATTTTCATGTACCTTATTGCCATCTCTCCTAATAAAAAATAGAAACTTCCAATAGTTTATTTGTAACAAAAATTAGTGCCCCAACACATAATTTAAGTTCAATAAAGATGTGATTATACATATTGGTGTGATACAACACCACGAAACCGACTCGGACAAGCCATGATACATGGTTCGAAACAAAAGAAATGAGAATCGGTCGAGTTTCGCGGGTTTTTAATGTTCAAATTTTTTTTTTTTTTGTTTTGACTTGCCTGTGTTTCTGACAGATTCAATCGGAGTCTATCGAGTTGGGCTCGCAACCTAGTGAAACCGGACCTACATGCTTACTTTTAAGGAAAATATCCTCATAACCGATAGTTTTTTGTTTTCATATCTCAATACAACCAAAGATTAAAAATATATCTCTTAACCCCTAACTTACTTTACCCACTTTTAACTATTTTTTTAACCCTAACAAATATAAAAAAGATATGCACATTCTAAACCCTTCATCTCTTTACGTAATATATTCCCCTAAAAAATTCTCTCTTTCTAACATTCACCATCTTTGTCTCTCTAACGGGAGAGAGAGAGTGTGAGAGACACAGGGGGAAAGAGTGGGAAAATAGGTAGAGAGACATTTAGAGAAAAATCACGTGAAGAGCCAGAAATGATGATGTTTAGAAATGATGTCTTTCTTATATTTGTTTAAGGTAAAAAATTAAGTTTTAAGGGGATAAAGTTAGCTTAGGGAGTTAAAAGATATAAAACTTAAAAATTTTATGACTCAAGATATGTTTTGAAACTTTGAGTTTATAGAGATATCAAACTTAAAAATGAAGGGCATGGAGATATTTTTCTATTTTTAATACTAATTATACAATAGACCAATGAGGAATCCACCATACCTTATTAGAATAAATGGTTGAGATGACTTAAAAGTCACTTTAGCTCTAAGTTTCATCTCAACCGTCCATCTTGAGAAAGCATCATGGAGTCAAACCTGATGTGTGTTAATTGCTTCTCCTTTACTAAAAGTGAAGATAGTTATTCTAATGAGAAGCAAAGATGAAAGTGACTTTTTTGAGCTTATAAATGCAATGACAAGGATTCTTTGGTGAAGATTACAAGAGAGTTCAGTGGAGCATTAAGATCAAAGAAAGACTGTCTCCTGTGGCATAAAGATGACAGCAGTTGGGGCAGTAACACTTGGACTTCTCCATGTCTTGGTTTCCTTTGCCGCTGGATTCCGGCCACTGTCCGGAATCTGGAACACCAAGATCTTGCTGAGGGCCGACTTCCCTAACGAATTCATCTTCGGAGCTGGGACCTCAGCTTATCAGGTTGGTTTTTTCTTTTTTGTTGCAGTTTTGTTTAGATTCTTGCTCATTAACGTCTCATTTCCATAAGTTTTGACATCTGGTTTTCTTTCTTTTTTCTTTTTTAAATTTTTAGGTTGAAGGAGGGAGCAGGGAAGGTGGGAGAGGAACTAGTATATGGGACACTTTTACGCATGAGCATCCTGGTAGTTTTTATGAAGTGTTTTTTCTCTCTATTTTATGCAATGAAATGTTAATTATTTTTACATGAATTCTTAAGTTTCCTTAAAAAAATTCAGGCTTACTTTTCCATACAAAGATCCTGGGATCTTTTTAAAGAAAGGAGTCATTTGAAAAAAAATTGAATTATTTTTTTGTGCATGAAATTCTAAGCAAGTCAGGGGAGCTTATGGGAAGTAAGTAATTGTGATAAATCCAAACTATTAGATTTCAAATCGGATGGTTGTAAGTAATTATGATCTCCCAGTACCAAATGTAAATGGTATCTTTACGTACAATCCCTTTCAAAAATCAAAATTGCTCGTTGCAAGAGCAAAATTTACAGGGCGCATGTATAGTGCTCCTGCAGGAGCGCTATGTATGTGTACTCCTTCGTGTTGAGGAAGTTTGGGGATCCAGCTTAGACTCACTAGATGAGTATTTTAAATCCCTGTGGGGTTGGGGGCCGCATGGGGTGTGTAAAGGTTGGTGTTTTTTGGGTGGGTTCCGTTTGATTTGAGTGCCTCAACACTTAGATATGACTGTCCAGAAATTGATACTTTTTTTTTGTTTTTTTTCATATAATCTTAAGACATTATTTTTTCCAGGCACATATAGAATGTGGATGAATATTTATTCGATTAGTTGCTACATCGAAGAAATTAAGTCCCCGAAATTTTGAGTATAAATAAATTATTGAGGTTTGAGCACATACCACACACCCTCAGGAGCATATAATCTTTTGGGTGTCCCAAAGGGCTTAGCCAAAGAAACTTTAAAGAGAATGAGAAAAATGGAGAGAGTCGTTTTTCCTCATTACCAACCACAGTTTCTATTATTATTATTTTTCTTTAGAATCTTCCTTTGTGCCCTAATTTTTTCACTCTCCTCTCTCTCACACACTTCTCTTCTTAAGCCTTTCATGCTTTTGTCCACATGTTTCATCTTCTATGCACTCCAACCAATAAAGGCATAACATACATGGGATGCTCCTTAGGACTGTAG